GTCTCTTGTGTGCTAAGACACAAATGTTGTGGTACTGCTTGCTTTGATTAGGTTCAACGTTGAACCACAATGCTTGTTAGTTGGGACATAAGAGATTAGGGCATGGAAGTCATAGATTTGGTATTAGAGATAGAAACAGGATATACGTGGCGGCGATTGGAGCTAGTTGGCCGACAGTAGGTTTTATAAGATACGTGGTCCTTGTGGCAAAGGCGTGACCATGATACGTACTCAGAGGCTTTCACCTCGAATTAGTCACCCGGACGAAGGGAAGGGCGAATAACGCCTCGAGTGGCACAGATGGGGTGGTAGGGGTCAAGTGAAATATGTGAACCAGGGAGAGGGCAGACGGATCTAACGGGACAAGAGAGACACTGTGATAGGACCTAGGGAAGGAGGACTGCGTAACAATATGGCAGACTCTGATCAACATTCTAAGAATAAGGGTGAATATGGTGAGAACGACAGCGTGAGCGTGAAGGGTTTTCATGAATTCCGCTCAAAGTAGCGTACCACACTGCATCAAAATAGGTACGATAAAAATTGTGACAGTGAAGGCGTGATGGGAATATATAGGAAATGTGAATATCCAAGGGCAGAAGGGGAAATACCACAACTGTTTAGCACACATTTGGTCAAAAGCTAGGCTCATTTGTCTCTTTGACGAGTTGTTGTATGGTGCTAAGAATGGCGACCCTCACTGAGGATGCCGACTACGATGCCGGCGAAACGTCTGGGAATGTACCACGTCCACAGTCCGACTTTGGAAATGATTATGCATACACTGGACTCCGAACTAGGTGCGTTCCTCTAAGTCTTCCTACAAATATGACCAAGTTGCGAAAACAAGGTCAAACAACCTATATACAATGAAAGGAGACTGCGACCACACAAGAGGCCACACCATCTTGGTCTTCATACCTCCCATAACTATTAAGCTCTGCCTTAAATATAGTGATGATCAGATTCATTCTCTCTGAAAGAAAAGATGACGGGAAGATGATAATTCCATAATCAAATGTTTTTTTTACAAGCAGTAGTGTATACATATAGCCGAATAACTTTTCTTTGAATAACTATAAGTCTATATATCTGCTCAAAGCATGCCCATGGCTTGGTTAGTAATACATTGGAGAATCAACTCTTATTGGACAGCACCTAGCTAAGTAAACTTGGTGCCTTATTTCGAAAGAGAAATATGAACTGATATTAAATGGAACTGTAGTTACTTTACCCCACAATCAGTTTGGCCACATTCCACAGTCATCTCTAGACTCCTGCAACACCAAGCGTAGCATGACTCACCGGCATGGTGTCCCATGGGGACTATGCTAATCTAGTCACCACATCAAGCCTCTCCTTAGAGCCAATCATAACGTGGCCCTATAAGTACACAAGAGTATTATAAACTGGAATCTAATTCGACTGGTAACAGTGCTCCATTGCCCCACCTTGCGCCGTCGTTACCCTTTGTCACTGAACGCTGCCTTCTTGTACCAAAACCACACTCTTGCATTGCCTGAGTTTTTCTCACATCGAGTTCTTCGCCTGCAATTTTCTTTCCTATATACAAGGCATTATGTGACTCGTTTTCTTGTTCCTCTATACAAGGCTGTGGTAGTCTATACGGTAGAGCGAAGCCGAGCACATATCTATAGTGAATATTGCTATGATTCACTAAAAGGCCTCATCTATCCCAAAAAGACTTGATACTGTTTTCTATGAGATAAGACGTTTTTGTCTATCTACTTGCCCTTATGGAATAATATGAAGCCTCTTCAGTAGCATATTAATCTACATGAGATATGAAGAATATACTGGAGTCTTCTGGATGCATTAAAGCAATCCATCAAGGCTGATATATTTTTGCATTGGTTTGACCCCGTTTCCGTAACTTGGTCGGAACTACAGAGAAACTCTGCGGAGTGTACCTAGTCCTCCATCCTTAGTCATAGTATTCATGATAATTTTAAGCATCGGACAGATGACTTGGTACATTCACAGACGTTTCTCCAACATCGTCAGCGAGAGGCGTCGTCCTTAGCACAGAGTTAAAACTTATTTGAGGAACAAGAAGCGGCCATTCTCCTGACCAATTTTCTGTTTAACCGTTGTGGAATCTTCCATCCTCATACCCAGGCTCATAGTGCTGCCTCCTTGTCGCTCAACACCACTTAATATAGCCCACATTCTAATTCATACCTAACTTCGTTTTCTCCTAAGATTGTATCACTTTAAGGGGATTTAGTGAAGCATACTCACCCTCAACGCCGGCTTCAGATTCTCTTGGCCAGGTTTATGGGACCTAATCTGCACTTTCCTTTATCTATTTCCACCACGCCTTTTAGTTGGGCCCAGCTACACATGAAAACCCCTGTATATCTTGTTGCCTATACTGCTTAGTTTCCAATCCCCGTTTACATCATATTCGAGTAATTTAAAACTGGTGATTCTCCCGCCTATAGTCTCTTAGGCTACAAAGCCTCTTAATGCAGTTATCCTCTATCCTACCCCCTCCTTATTCTCTTTTATTCCCTGGGGCCTTGTGTCTCAATCCATTAGGAACCTTTAGTGTAGGGATGGATCACATAAATTCCTCACTTATGAATCAGTTAATGCATACATCTCTTTCATATCTCTAGTCCCACCTGATTTTTAGTCTCTATTCGTTAGTGCCTGTGCATGTTGTTTAGCAACTACCCTTGTCAGGAATCCTATCAATTGGTTCTCTCTACAGGCACATACAGATACGCTTAACTCATGTGCCTGGAACCAACTTATATTTTACCACCTCCTTGGTTTTCCCACACAATTGTATGTGAAATAGATCTAGATTCTTAGCATAAAATCTATATTGGTTAAAATTATGACATTAATTGTCCTTCAATTTTATAGCCCCAGAAGGAGCACACCATCAACGCGTTCCAGCTGATTTTAGGTTTGGGTTCTCTCACTGCAATTGCCCTCTATTGACTTTTATTTAGCCTTCACGATCCTCTTAATAACGATGCTTCTTTCTGCTGGTAAACAAATTTTTTTTGTCCAAGCATCCTCTTTTAACTGTCCGAAGTTTCCTAAGTCTGCCCAGACAGGAAATAGGAGAATGGGCGGCATTGCAGAATGAAAAAGAGAAGGCCACAGGAGAAAACATATCAGGTTCATTAAAGTCCCAGCTCACTTAATAACATTAGGAAATTGAACAACTGCCGAGGTGATTCATATTATTCCAATTTAAATGACGGAGTATGTTAAAATATGAAAATATATATAGTTGGAAGAGACAGGATTTAAGTTATAAATTTACTATACCATCAAGTCTTAGAAACGATAGGCGAAGTGATAAAAAGAAGACATTGCTGGCCGAACATAAGTAAAAATTAAAATAAATGTGAAATAATAAACAGACATTAATCAAAATGATGTTTTGTGACAATATTATACTATACATGCTGTTTTAATAGTGGAATCGTTTACAATGATCAGCCGGTCCGATTTAATGCAAAGTATAAGGAATGTAAAATAAGAAACTTAGGCTAGTTCAAAGTATTGAGCAAAAAGTATCATCTATGAAAAATATAAAAGTAAAAAACAGTTGCCAGAAGAGTTCCTATCAAAAGCACACCTATAACTTAGGTTTTGTCATGGAACCGTATTCATTTGCTTTAGTATATATGCACACTTAGCAGAAATGAAATTAATTCATCCTTATGTACAAATGTAAAAAAGGATATCCAAGTAGGTTTTATGGCCAAGAATATAGGTTTATCGTAATAAGAGTATAATTTTTAAACGTCATATGATATTAAAATGCGCGATGCTTACTCAAGAAGCAAGAGGTGAAGCTTATGCACTAACCAGAGGGTATAAATCTAAATTACGAAAAGCTCAAAGAGGTACTAAATTATACGATATTCTAAAAAATATAAAAATCGTTAAGCATAAGAAGTCAGAAGCACAAAGAGTTAGTCGTTGCAAGAAAGTGCCAAAACAGTGTAGGAGTAAATACTTTGGGAGCAATTATGATAAAATGCCATTTAATGACATGAATGAAAAATGATATGCTGATTTAAGAAATAATAAAACAATTATAAGTTAAAATTAAATGTGAGCGAAAATTAACTTAAATAACGCAATCAAGCCAAAAAAACTCTAGAAAATGACGTATAGGTCACCAAAGTTATTTATGAGAGGGCAAATAAATTCACACGATTATCTGACCAAAATTAGAGAATACTTGAGGAAATTTTGTTTATGAAAAGATTTATGACTATCTTAAATAAGTTAAAGTGATTGATGCGATAAATAGCTATTTTCAGGTGAACTAGTGTATATTTAATGCTTGTGGAGCTAAAATAGGATTAAGGGAAGTATGAGTATCATTCTAATAAAACATACAACTTTTACCTAATTTATAATTGAGTAATCAATCTACCCGTAATTATTCAAAATCTTACTTTATGATTTGTTTATTCTTGCTTATCACACGCCACATAAAGGCGTCATATGATAGTTCAAGGCCGCGATCCCTGGTTGACATAGCGTATTCCCTTGTCTATCTCCCCCTCCGGTGATCCTGTTCTTTTTCTACATATCCTCTGCATTTTATTATTTTCTCGACTAAAATGGAGAAACTTCTTGTTGATGCCAAAAAATGCCAAAAATGCCCAAATTTTGATGGCGATGCTAGCGATGAAGAATCTGCCGGAGAAATGATATGGGAAAAGCCGTCTTTCACACGAGATATGATCAAGTTACATCTTAAGAACAAGAAGAGGCGCATACATTCAAGCTCTTTCAGTCATTCAGGCACCAATGGGCTTACATTAAATGGGGTTCTTTCGGATAGAGATAGTCTCGTTAATGCTCTGCAAAAAGTTCAGATCACTGGCTCGCGTATTCCATATAGCAAAAACAGCAAGAAATCACGCAATGCCTCTCGGCCTTCTCCAAAAAAGCGTAAGTCACTTAGGTAATGCTTATTTTAAAGGCGGTGGCAAAAGCGCCCCACGTATCGGCGACGATCTTGACGAAATAGAGCTTGACCATAATGACCCAGATTACGACTCGGAGTTGAATGTATGTATATGCTTTATTTTGTTAGTCTGAATTTAGGATCCCGTAGTCTATGATGAGCTTAGGCCCTTCCTCCCCGATGATGAATTTGATGAGATGGTTAATTCTTTACTAAGAGAATTTTTTGAACATGGGCAGACCTCAGAAGTCATCGTAAGCTTCTTGATTTAGTCTTGATTATTAATTCGTTCATTTTGAATCTTAATTGTAACTTTTAATTGTAGTCATCCTTGTCAGGACTTAATCTTTCTCCTTCACAATGCCGAAGGCTACCCTATTTAGCCATCACTCTTGCTCTTGAATTTAAACTTTCACAATGTGAGCTGACTTCCACCCTGCTTTCGGATATGTATAATGTCCTCATCAGTCCTGCACATATGCAACAGGGTTTCCGCCTCGTTCTGGAAGAGCTGCCCGACATTACCATCGATGTCCCCAAGGCTCCCGAGGTAGCATCACTATATTCTTGTCCTGTGTTAAGTTTTTCATCTGTTTCATCCATCTTTACCTTTATAGTTCGTTGGTCGTTTCATTGCACGCGCAGTTGCTGACGACATTCTTCCTCCGCGTTTTGTTTATTCGCACCGAAGTGATCCTAGTTCAACCCACATTGGAAAAATTGTGGCACAATCTTTGCAGCACCCACGCACACTATCTGATAATGGAATTGAGACTGAGCGAACCTCGATAGATAACGCTCCATTGTTCACCCAGTCAGCAGAACACGTTATTAGCGCCAATGGCCGTTGTGCAACCCGTAGCAACAGTGGCGGTGACTCCGCTATAGGAACGGATTCATTAGAGAATGACGCTCGCACGACTAACAGCAGCGGAGTGAGTTCGGCGATGGGTGATGGTAGTCTGTCGGCTTCTACATCTTCTGCTAG